CTTTAACGTACTAAAATTAATATATAACAAATTCTTGTGGAAATGATAAGGTCCATAATGTCTGGGCACATCTTTGATAATCATCGAGAGCTACTCTCACCAAAATTTGAAGATTCTTTGAAATGTCCATTCACCCAATTGCGGCGCGCAATTGCCAGATTTATATAAACTTTAAACGCATAGCATAATTGCTTGAATTAAATTGGCTTTCTTAGTTTAGACAATCGGTAATCTGCCTACAACCTTGTTTTAGGTTGAATATTCTAATTTTTCCCCTAAAGAGATGTCTAATTGTTAGTTGCTCTAATATTTGCTCAATCTCATGTTTATCCAAACCCTCTAACCTTTCTCTATTTTCTTACGTAGTAGTATTCTCCAACTAGCTAGATTTATTGATGACTATGAAAACGCGAGCTAAGGAAAGCATCTCTTCAAATCTGAAATCGGGTTGATTTTATTCTGAAATCAGGTTGATATTATAGATTTTTCCTTTTTTTTTTCAAATATTTTATGGCTTGAAAAGCAGCTATCTCACTAAAATCTAAAAAATTCCATGCATTAATTCTTCAAAAGTAACATTGAGTATTTGTTTGGATAGAGAGTATTTGGTTTGCAAAATTTATTCTCACAAATCCCAATCACCTTTTTATCTTCCCAATCACCTTTTTATCTCACATACATCACATCATAAAAAGTGCTACAGTAACTGGATCAAATAAATCATCCAAATAAATTCTTATCCAAACAAAAATCTCTAATAACATTAAGTTATTTGACATTGTTTAAAGTATGAAGAGAATACCTATCATAGATCATAAGGGCCTAAATAGTGAATGAGATAAAAGTCATTTGACTAAGAACCGATGGCAAATAAATAATAGAATAAAAAAATTTATAAACACTTACTCATTTTTTTTATTCAATCCAATCATCAATAATCACTAATGTTTCAACCATATCTAGAAGCAATTTGCCACGAGTCTTATCAATCACCCAACCATCAATACTAAATACAAGTTCTAATGCCATAAAATCTTATTGTATTCGACCCAATAGTCATAAAATATTATATTATTTTATAAATTTACTAATATATATATTATTTAATTAAATAAATATGAGTCTGGATAAGGTCTGGTATGAATCTGAAATTGGATATGGATTCTAGAAAACCAAACTCTATCCAGACCCACGATTCTCTCACAGGGTCTGGGTTTGAGTAGGGTCTGGATTTGAGAAATTAAATCCAAATCCTACCCAAATATATTGAATCTGGGTTGGATCCGGATAAGACCGGACCCATTGACATGCGTAGCCACATGATAGAAATCCAAGGGAACAATTTACAACCAAATTGTAGCTTCAAATTTGTACTAATGGGGTGTCCCTAGGATGCAAATAGAAACAATTTTTGATGGTTTCTCATTGTAAACAAGAAACGTAAACATCAATACCATCTCAAATTCAATCACAAGAATACTGATGGCAGATAGTGGTAATTCAACATCAAATATATCATAGATCATAAGGGCCTAAATCAAAATAAAAAGGACAGGATATTGCTAATTTTTTTTTCTCGATACAGAGGGTATTTAGGTTTTCGGCCTGACTAATCCCCCTGCGGCTCGGGAGAGGGCACCCTAACCCATTCCGAGCACGGTAACTACGAGACTCGAACATAGGTCAATGCCTTAAAAGAAGGACTACATGACCAGCCGAACTATATATCCCGTGGGCAGATAGGAAATCGCTAATGACAAAGAGTTATTTGACATTGGTTGAAGTATGAAAGATAAGAGCTTCCATGAATCATATTCCGACTTGTTGCAAAAAACAATTTTGAGACATTCAATTGGTTCCAAAGCCTTATTTAACGAATGAATGTAGGGGTTTAGCCAAACCACCCACCTTTCCGAAGTGGTTTAAACCAAAAAAAGAAAAAGATTATGTAAAGGTGCATACATGTACTTGTGTTGTTGAGGGGATAAGACCAGCAAGTAATCCAGTTTTGATCTATTTATGATTTCTTTTTTTAGTATTCTTATCTATGATTTTTCATGTTCGATTTTTTTTTTTTTTTTTTTTTTTTTGCTTTTCCGATCAAAATACTAGAGTTGAAAATTAGTCATATACATAATCAACTGTTGTCGAGCCCTTTGTCCGACATTTAATTTTGATTTTAGTCTGTCAAGTATGCAGCGTTGAAGAAAAAATAAAAGTCAATTTTCAAGTAAGTGTAATAAAGAAACAATTGCACTAGATGGTGAGCATGTTGCAAATTGAGATATTATCTCCTTAGATAAAAATCAGTAAGAAATGTCCAAATTTCAAAGCATTGAACATTGTACACAACTTATATTATAAAAACCAACAAAAAAAAGGTAAATATTTCATCTGGAACCAAGCTTCAGAACAATATCTGAAGGCAAAATATAGTCACTCGTCAGTCCTCCTTCCCACTCAATGCCCTCTTGACTGCTTTTTCGGTGGAGGAAGAGGTGAGTGGAATTGCCTACAGACTTGCAGCATATGAAATCAGAAAAAAATATGGGGACGAATTTAACTTCAATCTATCAAAGTCCTAAGGGAAGGCTAAACAAACTGAAACTGCTCTCTGCTATTTACCCTACCGAAACGAAGTGTATGCATATAACTATTATGAGTTTGTTTGAATTGTTAAATTTTTCCCAAAATAAACTAAGCATCCTAAACACGTTCTTCAATCAGTATGTTAGCAATCATTTTATTTCATACATCAAATCATAGAATGTACTACCGTATTATTCTTAAAAATTTTTCAAATAACATTATTAGTTTATATCCAAAAAAACTGTATGCTTTCTAGAGCTACAATTATGCACCATAACACCCAAAATTACTATATATAGTAGATCTAATCTAATCTGTTATCATGTAAATCGCCACTTTAAACACTGCTCTACATATTACCTCACAAATCAATAAATTTGTCCTTTTGGTTAGTTTTTGGTGTAATCCCTGTATAGCTCCACTAATATAGTACATCAACATATGGCAGTGATCTTGACATATCCTCAAAACTATAGGTAATACTTGACTTCGGATCAGAATAATAGTAACATTTTGAAGAGGTACAATAATAACAAATCATTCAAGAATCATGCCCCGGCCCGCAAATATATTTCTTTGCGTTGCTTGTTCTTGATCAGCATTATATATCAAAAAGTTAAATAAAGGCCTCCTTCGTTAAATTTGGAACAGAATTGCAATAGCAACTTCGTAGAAACCTTTCACCTTATCCAAGTTCATACGCAGCTCTTGTGAAATAGGTGGGCATACCTTCTTAATTGCCTCGTCACATCTATTATAATTAGCAATAGATACTTCAAGCCGAATTGACGCGTCCTTGTAATCCCCATCCCTAAAGCTCTGTCGTGCTTCTCCAACATTATACAATGCGCCAAGTATAAATTCTTTGCACAGGATGCATGTTTTCTTGAACGTAGGATCGGTTGCATTCTTCAACAAGTTGTCGAAATCATTATAAACGTACAACGTTTGTATCCCAGAACAAGTGATTGATTGTCTTGCAAGCCCTTTTACATCCTCTTTATCGCGAGTAGCTAGCATCACCTTGAATGCAAACGTAGCAATAGTCAAATTGCGGTGTTCTGGAGCAAACTTTGGTTATTAGAGCTGCATCTCCGCTCACATTTTGTAGGTATGGTGCAGCCATGAGGCAGCAAAACAAGGTTAAAAGGGCAATTCTCAACATTGTATTTCAAATAAAATTGCAAAAGCTATCGAGGTTGGAGTCTCAGAAATCTAAATCTAAGGTGATTAGATTTATTGCATCGATTTAGTGGTATTTAAAGGCATTGAAAAGTTTTTATTTCTTTTTTGGAAAAAAATAACAAAAATTAATGCAGGATTAATATCGTATGGAAGTTGAATACTGAATGATAATGGCCTTCCTATCTCGCATCAATTAGGACAAAATCATTCATAGCTTTTGTTACGAGGCATGAACATGAATATTTGAGCTAGGAAAGAGTCATTTACCCTCCACACAAAATGTTAAACAGGATATATAATTTTTTTTGGCTTGGTTATTAGGTTCTTGTCATATTGGTTCTTTGTCCGTAGTTTTCTAAAGTCTTTTGAGTCTTTTCAGTTAAAAAAACAAATCCAAGCCATTTAATTGGCTCCAAAGCCTATGGTGTAAGCCAAATTCACCTTCCGGGAGTGGCTTAATTTTTTTTTTTAAAAAAAGGAGAAATTATACAAATATGTTTCATCATCATACACTTGGGTTGTTGAGGGGATAAGACTAGCAACTAATCCAGCTTAATTTGTTCTTATTTATGACCATCTCTCTCTCTCTCTCTCTCTATGTGCCTCCATGCGTGAATTTGTTTGTATCACAAGAATTGTTATAAATTAATGACAACAGATTGTTGTCACTTATTCTATGTGACATCCAAAATGATGACAAAAGTAGTTGGTCTGTGATGACTTTCAAAAGATGTTAACAAGTGTTAAAAGTCTTCTCGTAATTCATTGCAGTCGGGTGGAATCTAACTTTTGACCTAATTTTTTTTCCTTGTAACATTTTTAATTGATCAAAAAAGTTCCCTTGGATCAAAAAAATCTAACATATTGTTATAATCTCGGATGATCTTTGATGAAAAGATTCTTTTCTCTCAAATCAATTTAAAATACATTAATAGATGATTTGAAAAAGTTCACCATTACCATTTTTTGTTCAAGAGAAGACTCGTTTCACTTGCGCCCTCCCAGCCCCATCTCTCTTAATAAACTCTGGAAGTGTAAGGGAAATCTGGTACCCTTTATGAAAAATTTTCCATTATATCAGGCAAGCTAAAATTACAACAAAAGAATCAGGTGGAAGTTTTTTTTTTTTTGGACTCCGCTAAATAACATCACCACGCTTAACCAGATAAATTTGCTAACAATACTATAAATGTAAATTTAAATCAAGTAACAAGAATAATACAGCCTTGAAGTCAACTGGAGTCCATGAACATTAACATAATAATAATAATAATAATACACTCCAATTTTACAAATTAATTTGGAGCAAAACTAATGCTGATCATGAGAGAGCGACAATTCTAAGAGACACCTCAATGAGATTTTTTGCTTTGGTTAGTTGTTTGACATATTCTTGCGAGATGGGGTCTGTTATCAGCTTATCACAGTCGAAATACTTTTCATAACCAAAATTAAGAAACTGGATGGCATCTGATTTTCGTTTCAGTCTCCATGCTTTAAGTGCGGCTCTACAATAACCCATGCATGAGTCAAATTTTTCCAAACAGACCTTTGTCGTTTCTTGAAAATGTCCGGTAGAATTTAATGAAAACTCTAAAGTTGTTCTTCGCACGATGACAAATGCATTACTAGTGCACAAGATGGATTTGCCACCGAAGTCTGCTCCGTTGCTGTTGAATCCCTTTTTTCCACTCAAGCAATCGTAGCAATAGTAAAAGTAGTCTGTCTTGTCGCAGACACGTCTGATCTCGGAATCATCGCCTGTCACTTGAACCCCTAAGCTTCCCCACAAGAGCCAAGCAAACAGATAAACTTTGCCAAATGAAGCCATGTGATTTTGCTGCACTCGTGATCAAATTGAAAGAATCATTAATTAACATGAGTGCGTTTCTGGCTGTAGAAGATTTAAGAAAACACCAACAAACAAATATACCACTGTAAAAAAAAATAAAAAAAATTCACCCTTTCCACACCATTGCCACTCTCGACTGCCACCTTCTTGCTCCTTCTTTTCTTCCTTTTTCCCCCTTCTGCTCCCTTCCTCCCCCATCTTTCTATCTATCTCCGCCCCCTCCCATCACTGGTCCAAATCGAATAGGGGAAAAAGGGAAGGGATCGCGGGAAAGAGGGGAGAAAGAGGGTGGAGAAGGAGGAAAATGGAGGTGGAGGAGAGGGAGGGAGAAGGGATAAAAAATTAAGGGAGAGGGAGGTGTAGCAGGTAGTAGGCAAAAGGGAGGAGGAGGTGGTAGTGGTGAGGAAGGGGGAAATTAGTGTTTTGGACATATATCAAATTAACGGGTTGTTGAGATAAATTCATAGTGATCGGAAGAAATATACTCCATGTACGTATGTGAAAGGATCAAGAAAGTATTTGAAAACATCAACTTTACATGACAAATAATCACTATAGCAGCGAAATTAAAACAATCATCCATGAATGGAGTAAAGACAACAAATTATGAAAAAAAACCTCGACGAGAAACTTACCCAAACAAAAACTGTTGAACGAGAATTGAAATGAAGAACTCCTGGATCTCTTCTCTTAAATAATGAAATCTAAGGATTCCAGAAACGACAACTAGCAATTGATTGCAACATGAATTCGGTCGGTTTGAGTTGTGAAAATCCAAGACCGGTGGCAGTCCATATCTTCTCTAAACAAGAGTCTCATCCATTAGTTGACAAGTGTTAAATGTTGCCAAATCAGTTATATTTTTAGATAATTTCAGAAACCTACTGTGATGTTTTCTGATATTTTCACTTTGTACCCCTCTAATTTTGAAATACTGCGTTGGTTTTTGGTAATAAAATTAGCCCCGGTCGTGACTAATAAGTGACTTACAAAAAGGCCTGATTGAAAATTCTGACGACAAAGTTTGTTCCCAATTTATTCTTTGAGCTCCCAAAGACATTAGCCGACAAGAAGTTTTTTTAGAACAAGTAAGATACTGGATGGAAATTTTCATCCACGATTTAAAAAATCTTGATTTTGATAAGATTTTTGTCTCATTGTAGCTTGTTCCAATGCCCCTATGAAACTTTTATTATTCCGTTAGCCATATACTTCACACGCTCTGTAGTTCTTCCAATGTACACCACTGAAACTCGAGAAAGTGATGCATTTAAATTTCGAGAAAAATGGCAAGAACCTCCAACATACTAGATTTCATGTTTATAAACTACATGGAGATGCAGTCAGTCTAAAACAACTACTGACAATATATTAAGGGAAAACAGAAATTCAGCAACAAAATGCAAACCGTAGAAAATGCCTAATAAAATAGTTCCATATTAGTCACAGGACCAATATGGGCGAGACTAAAATGGGTTAAACTCATTTTGATCACACCCGTATACCTAATAAATCCCTTTTTTTTTTAAAGGAAAACTCTTTTTCCCTCGTTCACATACTTCAATATTCCTTTTTTGCCAGCCCAAACATTTAATAAATTCTATTTTATTTATATTTTTAAGAAAAGCTCTTTTCCCCAATTAAATACCTCAATATTGCTTTTTCTGTTTATATAATTTAGTTTGTTTATTTAACTTTGTTCTACACTCTTCTTTATATATTGTGCGATAATTTTTCAACTAAATAAAATTTACTAGATACAAAATTCAAAAAAGACCAACTTTGTATAAGTGGATGATTTTTTTTTTTTCTAAGATTATGCTAATTGTAGGCATCCTTCAGAAGAACTGCAACTGAATGACGTTAAATAGATCGCCAAAATTTAAGTCGCGACAAAATCCATCTACTCATGTATGCTATTTTAGTCCTTAACCTTCAAGACCCAACTCCCAAGCTAACAAATTTTCCAATTCTAATGCCATTCCCCCGTGTCTACGCACCTTTTATGGTTGCGTGACCGGCTTTCTTCAGCCGTAGGTGCTGAACTTTGGAGAATTTGGCTTTCTGAGTTTTGGAGAAAATGGTAAAGATGAATTGATCTCTGATTTGTTCTACCATCCCAACCGGTGAATCATTAAAATTCATTTTTAATAAAATCTTTTGGATTTACAGTTTCCATTGTTCCCATCACTTCTTACTTTAATGTTTAGGTCCAAATTTTACAACGAAACTTAGTAATGAAAATTGTTCTTGAGTTAATTTTCTCGATCTTTATTGTCTTAAAACTCTTTATTTATTTTTTGTTTTATAATAAAATTCTTGATAGCTTTTCATTTTTTTATGAACAGAATCAAGAAGTCTTTTTTAGAACAAGTAAGATACTATACGAGAATTTTCATCCAACGATTTAGAAAATCTTGGTTTTGATAAGATTTTTGTCTCATTGTAACTTGCTCCAATGCCCTTACGAAACTTTTATTATTGCGTTAGCCATACACTTCACATGTTTTTAGCAATTCAAATGCAATCATCAAATGATTTTGGTTAGGTTTATTATCTATTCTAGTTATGATACGTAGCGTGACGACAATATGGATTCACATTTCTTGTAAAGATTCAGGCATTATTATGTCAAGCAAATTTTGAAGATCTTGACCCATCTGGATACAACTTATGTACCACAAGATGATGGCCTCAAAATGGCATCAAAATGGTTGTGGAAGGGACAGGACAGAGTACATAACTTACGTACCACAAGATGATGGCCTCAAAATGGTTGTGGAAGGGACAGAGTACATAACTAAGTGATGATGGCGTAACTCCACAAAAAGAGCAGGAAAATGAGTTCTGTTTTTACTGAGCCAAGTAAAAAAAATATATATATATATATATTCTTCTGCTGAGTGCTATTTCTGATGCACAAGAGTTTTAAAAGCCTATATATTCAGCCTACCTTGGTTAGAAGTTAGAACTAGTTCTAATGGTCATTTTTAATGGTGCACATATTGTGCACGAAATGTGCACAGAACTAGCTCTGTTAAAATTTTTTAATTTTTCGTTAAAGGATTTAGATTGACTTTTTATAGTAAAGATGAGGGACTAAAATAATCACAATAATAGATAAAAGATTAAATTGATCAAAACTCTAAAGATAACGGATCAAAATGATCATTTTCTCTAAACTAAAATGTCTAAGTCCTTAGTTGAACTAGATAGCTCAACTGATGGCCCTTACTTTTGCTCAACTGCCCCAACTACTAGCCCCTACACTCTTGGTGGCACATCAATAGATGGCAGTGCCCCTTTCTTCCAATACACTACTATCAATCAATGCCATGTCCGTAGCCACAAGTAGCATCAACATTGTAAACATAACAAAGGCAAGCTCCAGTCTCCTTCCATAGTTGATAAGCTATGGCTCGCCAAAAACTAAAGCACAGATATCATAATTGTCTCTCATCTGTGCTCCCCCATCTAATGCAATCCGAATCAAGTGCTCCAAATGTCTCGCAACCAAATGGCTCATGGCAGCAACCACTAATATCCGGGGAATGTCAACATAAATGAGTACTCCTTGAGCACTTCTCCACAAGTGTCCATCTATGCTCGGACATAAATTTCCTTATTCACTAGCGCTCAAAACCATGATTAGTTGTAGCCACCAATATCCAGAACGGTATCAAGGTAGCTTGAACACCCAAAGAGAAGAGAACTTGGAAGTACCATGTAAGAGATATACCAATATCTGTAGTTCTTCAAGAGGAAGAACAAACCAAAACAGGATCATAGAAGCGCAGATCCTCCAAATCCAACAAAGAGGTGAGAGGAAAGTGAACCAGTGATGAGGATGCAACCAGATAGGAACAGCGTGGCCCGTTTAGACATCCAGCACAAGGCACACGGAGACAACATCTTGTAATTAGAAAACAAATTCATTATAAGGGAAAAATGCCAGTTTTCATTCCTAAACTTTGGGTCATGAATACATTTCGTCACCAAAATTTCTAACATAACACATTTTGTATTTGAACTATCAATTTTTGTCCAATTTCATTCTCAAATAGGAAACTAATTAATTTGAACCGGAATTGGGCACCTCGTAAGCATGAGTCTATTGTGTGAAAAGTCTTGCACGACTTCAAATTAGCAAAATAGAATGGCTATTTTCACTCTCCCAACTCCAATACCTTTTTTTCCAATTCCAATTTCCATTCAAATTGATTAATTTTCCGTTTGAGGAATAAATTGGTCAAAAATTGATAGTTCAAATACTAAATGTGTTATGCCAAAAAATTTGAGGATGAAGTGTATCTATGGACCAAAGTTTAGGGATAATAACTAGCATTTTCCCTCATTATAAGCTTTCATTTAGTTATATCCAAAAGTGCATGAGAATAGAGATGGGTTAACAAACATAATCAAACTAAAATTTGAGGAGAATTTAATAAACATCTTTCTAGTTGAAAAGTTTATTCAATTCCATCGAACAAATTATTTAAAATCAAAGAAATTATCAAGAACCATGTAGAAATTTTGATTGACTTCCTTTCCTATACCATAATTGCATTCTAGTTGTAACGACAATAGAAAGTTAACTAATGAAAACCAATCAGTTCTAATTTCATAATACAAATAATCTTGTATGAATTGTCCCATTAACACAAAATACAGAACATAACATAATTTCCTATATGTTTATCTTGCAAGATCATCAGAGATGATGCTCAACAAAACTTTGCTAGCTAAACTGGGTTGGAGAACGATTAAATAGCAGGGTGAATTGTAGGCCAAAATGCTGACCAATACCATATAAGCGACAAAAAGCTGATCTAAGTTCCAAGAAAAAAGTTGAAGAGTCATACACGTTGATTATCAGCGAGAGGCACACAATTTTAGTAAAAAGGATTAAATGGAGATTAGGAAGTCAGTTGCTGGATGGTAGACTACCCACTATCTGGAGAATCCACAAAATAGATACCAGAAATAGAGAAGAGGAAACGAGTGAAAAACTACAGGTGGTTAGCAGAGAAGGAAGATGGAAACTTGGGCCACTAAAAAACTACCTACCAAAATAACATGCTTTCTATCTGAGATGCTTATTACTAAATCTTACGTCAATTATGGCATGAATTCACGTATGTCCAGGTCTAAACAACATATTTGGTTATTTGATTAATAGTTTTTCAGTTCCAATCAATGTTGTTTAGCGAGTAATTATTTTCCACTTTTATGCCTAGGTGTTGTATAACTTATAATATTAGCGGTTCCAATTATGGTTACCTCATATTTTTGGCTAGGTTTATTATCTATTCTAGCTATGACATGTAGCGATGATATAATCATTTTACTGTTTCATATATATCCCTGGAAGCAAGTTTTAATCCTTAATTTTAAGAAAAATGAAAATGTGTGATGAGTGGTGAGTTTCCTGAAAATTTTCGAACACTTAATCTCCTACCTATTGCACCACGATACGCCAAGACTCGCCTAATCAACACCATCAATCATTTCAATTAAAAGCATCACAACCCATAGTCTACCCAATCAATGGCTAAGATTTCAGCTCATGTTATGCCCCTAAACAAGAACCGTTTTGTTTTTTCTTATCCTCTGTCACCAACTCACACACATGCACACGCATCCAGCTAACACAAACTCAACAGTTCCAGTACTTTTTTTTTTTTTTTTGTTGGAGGAGTTCCAGCACATTTACTCGTGGTTCCAACTCTACAGAATTAGCTTGTGTAGCCCTAATTGCTAAATTCTTTGTGCCCAAACCAATTCCAATATCCCATCACTCTCCCTCCTCATAAGTTTTGCATCACTTGTATTCTAGTATTAATTGTGAGGAAATAAACCAGTGTAAAGAAATAATATTGATCCAACTAGTGGAAGATTTTCGCTTAAAATTAGATTCAGAAGATTGAACATGAGAGCAAACAACATTAAAAAAAAAAAAAAAGCATTGTCAACATGAATGCCTAGAGATAAATGATTTACAAAATAAGAAAACGGAGAATTCCTTGCGTTGGAAGAATAATAGAATATGTAGAAAATGAAAATAGTAGTTGAAATTTTAGAAGTTTATAGGGTCAAATTCCTCTTTAGGTAGGTGGTGGATTCATTAGTTCATTAGTTTTTTCTTTTTTATATTTTTTTAGCAAGAGAGAGATGGAAGTTAAGAAATGGAGAAGGGAAAAGAAGATTTAAACCCTAAATCTTTCATTATCGAGATCTCAACTTTAATCACTAGACCAAAATCTACTCGACAGGTGGTGGGTTCATTAGTTGTTCAATTGGAATCATAAAAAAAAATTTTGCTTTATAGGAGGAAATTTATACAGGCTACTAGCAAGTTGTGAAAATTGAATAAAAAAAGTTTTATACTAAGGCAAATTTTTTTCTAGTAGGGGAGATGAAGTTTAAAAAACGAGAAGAAAGTAAGAAAATTAGAACTCAGAACCTTTACGTTCTAGAGTCTCAACCATTGAGAGTTTGATTATTACTGAAACGGTGGTGAGTTATATTACTGGTTCTTTTTTTTTACTTCGAATTTTGTTTAATCAAAACCTTAACTAGGCACAAGTAAAGGAACAGTACTGTGATTTGTGACATTTAGTTCAGTTTACACAACTCCTAATAGCATCCAAAATTCTGATTCTACTCAAACGAAGGAATGCTTCTCGATATACCCCATCTTGAATTGGTCATCTATGTACCTATATAGACGACCACAATCATAAGGAATTGCTCAGTAACATTGCCAGAATATTAATCATAACAATGTTGGTCACGATGATGCGCCCACCTAATAATATTTTGGTCTATCTTCATGGTTTTTCCCATCTCAGCATACGCAGCTGGCTAGAGCAAAGGACTCGTGCCAAGAGCCTCAACAACATTTTTCCTATTTTTGCACACACCTTCAAGATTCAACAACATATGATTAACCCCAATAAATGTTACTTGATTCGCAGGCTTAAATTCTGCCACCAATTTCCACCTTCAGTGAAAGGTGAGGCAAATAAATGAATATTCTCATGCTCTCAAGCAATCATCAGCTATACAAGCCAAACTTGGAAAAGATTACCATAAATAAACAGTACAAGCATCTGCAGGTTTAATTTCTAACAGAAACTATTGATGGAATATTATCCAGACAAATTGTTGTCGTTCATGCATGAAGAGCATAATATGCCGTTTTTAACTGCACAAACAAGAGCCTTTGGCTACATTGGCCATCCTAAGTGATATATCGGGTCAGTCTGGAAACAATAACAAGAAAACCAAGTTCTGTGTTTACTCAGCCGAGTACTATTCTCTTGCTGAGTAACATTACTGATGCAGAGGACTTTAAAAGCCTGCGTCAGCCTGCCTTGGTTAGAATTAGTTCTTTGAAAGTAATAGGAGATTGTGACAGTATACAAGAAAAATTTAATGTGTCAATGGTTCCTTCTTCTTGATGCAATTTCTGAAGCCCAAGCTTTACCAATGTTTGTTTGGAACTTCCCTGCGAGAAAGAACAACATATAAATTAACTATTGTTCCTCACGCTCTATAGTTCTTTCAATGTACACCACTGAAACTCGAGAAAGTGATGCATTTAAATTTGGAGAAAAATGCCAAGAACCTATAACATACTAGATTTCATGTTTATAAACTACATGGAAATGCAGCCAGTCTAAAACAATTACTGACAATATATTAAGGGAAAACAGAAATTCAGCAACAAAATGCAAACCGTAGAAAATGCATACTGTTCTTCCAGTAAAAACTTTAATGAGTAAAATATCAGTATCCAAATGGAACAAATATCACAAGAATTGGAACCAAAGTTATATGAATGAGCCAATACAACATACCTGCTGTTGACCGGAAAAACTGGTCCAAATCCTTCCCTTGCTCTGCATAATACAAGAATGTCTTTTCAATTTCTATACAGGTTTCTCCAAAAATGAAAACATGCATTAGATAGCACAATCCAGGGTAAGCAGATTAAGAAGAAATTACAAGTACCACAAGATGATGGCCTCAAAATAGTTGTGGAAGGAACAGAGTACATAACTAAGTGATGATGGCGTAACTCCAGAAAAATAACAGGAAAATGAATTCTGTTTTTACTGAGCCAAGTAAAAAAAAATATATATATATATTCTTCTGCTGAGTGCTATTTCTGATGCACAAGAGTTTTAAAAGCCTATATATTCAGCCTGTCTTGGTTAGAAGTTAGAACTAGTTCTAAGGGTCATTTTTAATGGTGCACATATTGTGCACAAAATGTGCACAGAACTAGCTCTATTAAAATTTTTTAATTTTTCGTTAAAGGATTTAGATTGACTTTTTATAGTAAAGATGAGGGACTAAAATAATCACAATAATAGATAAAAGATTAAATTGATCAAAACTCTAAAGATAACGGATCAAAATGATCATTTTCTCTAAACTAAAATGTCTAAGTCCTTAGTTGAACTAGATAGCTCAACTGATGGCCCTTACTTTTGCTCAACTGCCCCAACTACTAGCCCCTACACTCTTGGTGGCACATCAATAGATGGCAGTGCCCCTTTCTTCCAATACACTACTATCAATCAATGCCATGTCCGTAGCCACAAGTAGCATCAACATTGTAAACATAACAAAGGCAAGCTCCAGTCTCCTTCCATAGTTGATAAGCTATGGCTCGCCAAAAACTAAAGCACAGATATCATAATTGTCTCTCATCTGTGCTCCCCCATCTAATGCAATCCGAATCAAGTGCTCCAAATGTCTCGCAACCAAATGGCTCATGGCAGCAACCACTAATATCCGGGGAATGTCAACATAAGTGAGTACTCCTTGAGCACTTCTCCACAAGTGTCCATCTATGCTCGGACATAAATTTCCTTATTCACTAGCGCTCAAAACCATGATTAGTTGTAGCCACCAATATCCAGAACGGTATCAAGGTAGCTTGAACACCCAAAGAGAAGAGAACTTGGAAGTACCATGTAAGAGATATACCAATATCTGTAGTTCTTCAAGAGGAAGAACAAACCAAAACAGGATCATAGAAGCGCAGATCCTCCAAATCCAACAAAGAGGTGAGAGGAAAGTGAACCAGTGATGAGGATGCAACCAGATAGGAACAGCGTGGCCCGTTTAGACATCCAGCACAAGGCACACGGAGACAACATCTTGTAATTAGAAAACAAATTCATTATAAGGGAAAAATGCCAGTTTTCATTCCTAAACTTTGGGTCATGAATACATTTCGTCACCAAAATTTCTAACATAACACATTTTGTATTTGAACTATCAATTTTTGTCCAATTTCATTCTCAAATAGGAAACTAATTAATTTGAACCGGAATTGGGCACCTCGTAAGCATGAGTCTATTGTGTGAAAAGTCTTGCACGACTTCAAATTAGCAAAATAGAATGGCTATTTTCACTCTCCCAACTCCAATACCTTTTTTTCCAATTCCAATTTCCATTCAAATTGATTAATTTTCCGTTTGAGGAATAAATTGGTCAAAAATTGATAGTTCAAATACTAAATGTGTTATGCCAAAAAATTTGAGGATGAAGTGTATCTATGGACCAAAGTTTAGGGATAATAACTAGCATTTTCCCTCATTATAAGCTTTCATTTAGTTATATCCAAAAGTGCATGAGAATAGAGATGGGTTAACAAACATAATCAAACTAAAATTTGAGGAGAATTTAATAAACATCTTTCTAGTTGAAAAGTTTATTCAATTCCATCGAACAAATTATTTAAAATCAAAGAAATTATCAAGAACCATGTAGAAATTTTGATTGACTTCCTTTCCTATACCATAATTGCATTCTAGTTGTAACGACAATAGAAAGTTAACTAATGAAAACCAATCAGTTCTAATTTCATAATACAAATAATCTTGTATGAATTGTCCCATTAACACAAAATACAGAACATAACATAATTTCCTATATGTTTATCTTGCAAGATCATCAGAGATGATGCTCAACAAAACTTTGCTAGCTAAACTGGGTTGGAGAACGATTAAATAGCAGGGTGAATTGTAGGCCAAAATGCTGACCAATACCATATAAGCGACAAAAAGCTGATCTAAGTTCCAAGAAAAAAGTTGAAGAGTCATACACGTTGATTATCAGCGAGAGGCACACAATTTTAGTAAAAAGGATTAAATGGAGATTAGGAAGTCAGTTGCTGGATGGTAGACTACCCACTATCTGGAGAATCCACAAAATAGATACCAGAAATAGAGAAGAGGAAACGAGTGAAAAACTACAGGTGGTTAGCAGAGAAGGAAGATGGAAACTTGGGCCACTAAAAAACTACCTACCAAAATAACATGCTTTCTATCTGAGATGCTTATTACTAAATCTTACGTCAATTATGGCATGAATTCACGTATGTCCAGGTCTAAACAACATATTTGGTTATTTGATTAATAGTTTTTCAGTTCCAATCAATGTTGTTTAGCGAGTAATTATTTTCCACTTTTATGCCTAGGTGTTGTATAACTTATAATATTAGCGGTTCCAATTATGGTTACCTCATATTTTTGGCTAGGTTTATTATCTATTCTAGCTATGACATGTAGCGATGATATAATCATTTTACTGTTTCATATATATCCCTGGAAGCAAGTTTTAATCCTTAATTTTAAGAAAAATGAAAATGTGTGATGAGTGGTGAGTTTCCTGAAAATTTTCGAACACTTAATCTCCTACCTATTGCACCACGATACGCCAAGACTCGCCTAATCAACACCATCAATCATTTCAATTAAAAGCATCACAACCCATAGTCTACCCAATCAATGGCTAAGATTTCAGCTCATGTTATGCCCCTAAACAAGAACCGTTTTGTTTTTTCTTATCCTCTGTCACCAACTCACACACATGCACACGCATCCAGCTAACACAAACTCAACAGTTCCAGTACTTTTTTTTTTTTTTTTGTTGGAGGAGTTCCAGCACATTTACTCGTGGTTCCAACTCTACAGAATTAGCTTGTGTAGCCCTAATTGCTAAATTCTTTGTGCCCAAACCAATTCCAATATCCCATCACTCTCCCTCCTCATAAGTTTTGCATCACTTGTATTCTAGTATTAATTGTGAGGAAATAAACCAGTGTAAAGAAATAATATTGATCCAACTAGTGGAAGATTTTCGCTTAAAATTAGATTCAGAAGATTGAACATGAGAGCAAACAACATTAAAAAAAAAAAAAAAGCATTGTCAACATGAATGCCTAGAGATAAATGATTTACAAAATAAGAAAACGGAGAATTCCTTGCGTTGGAAGAATAATAGAATATGTAGAAAATGAAAATAGTAGTTGAAATTTTAGAAGTTTATAGGGTCAAATTCCTCTTTAGGTAGGTGGTGGATTCATTAGTTCATTAGTTTTTTCTTTTTTATATTTTTTTAGCAAGAGAGAGATGGAAGTTAAGAAATGGAGAAGGGAAAAGAAGATTTAAACCCTAAATCTTTCATTATTGAGATCTCAACTTTAATCACTAGACCAAAATCTACTCGACAGGTGGTGGGTTCATTAGTTGTTCAATTGGAATCATAAAAAAAAATTTTGCTTTATAGGAGGAAATTTATACAGGCTACTAGCAAGTTGTGAAAATTGAATAAAAAAAGTTTTATACTAAGGCAAATTTTTTTCTAGTAGGGGAGATGAAGTTTAAAAAACGAGAAGAAAGTAAGAAAATTAGAACTCAGAACCTTTACGTTCTAGAGTCTCAACCATTGAGAGTTTGATTATTACTGAAACGGTGGTGAGTTATATTACTGGTTCTTTTTTTTTACTTCGAATTTTGTTTAATCAAAACCTTAACTAGGCACAAGTAAAGGAACAGTACTGTGATTTGTGACATTTAGTTCAGTTTACACAACTCCTAATAGCATCCAAAATTCTGATTCTACTCAAACGAAGGAATGCTTCTCGATATACCCCATCTTGAATTGGTCATCTATGTACCTATATAGACGACCACAATCATAAGGAATTGCTCAGTAACATTGCCAGAATATTAATCATAACAATGTTGGTCACGATGATGCGCCCACCTAATAATATTTTGGTCTATCTTCATGGTTTTTCCCATCTCAGCATACGCAGCTGGCTAGAGCAAAGGACTCGTGCCAAGAGCCTCAACAACATTTTTCCTATTTTTGCACACACCTTCAAGATTCAACAACATATGATTAACCCCAATAAATGTTACTTGATTCGCAGGCTTAAATTCTGCCACCAATTTCCACCTTCAGTGAAAGGTGAGGCAAATAAATGAATATTCTCATGCTCTCAAGCAATCATCAGCTATACAAGCCAAACTTGGAAAAGATTACCATAAATAAACAGTACAAGCATCTGCAGGTTTAATTTCTAACAGAAACTATTGATGGAATATTATCCAGACAAATTGTTGTCGTTCATGCATGAAGAGCATAATATGCCGTTTTTAACTGCACAAACAAGAGCCTTTGGCTACATTGGCCATCCTAAGTGATATATCGGGTCAGTCTGGAAACAATAACAAGAAAACCAAGTTCTGTGTTTACTCAGCCGAGTACTATTCTCTTGCTGAGTAACATTACTGATGCAGAGGACTTTAAAAGCCTGCGTCAGCCTGCCTTGGTTAGAATTAGTTCTTTGAAAGTAATAGGAGATTGTGACAGTATACAAGAAAAATTTAATGTGTCAATGGTTCCTTCTTCTTGATGCAATTTCTGAAGCCCAAGCTTTACCAATGTTCGTTTGGAACTTCCCTGCGAGAAAGAACAACAGACAAATTAACTATTGTTCCTCACACTCGAAACTCGAGAAAGTGATGCATTTAAATTTGGAGAAAAATGCCAAGAACCTATAACATACTAGATTTCATGTTTATAAACT